TTTAAAATTAAAATTATGAAATAATCTAATTTATTTAATTAATTTGCTAATTTGTTTTAAAAAAATAAAATAATTTAATTAATTCAATATAAAAAATAAAAAAATTATTTAGTTTCGATTCTTATTCGATTCTTGGGTTCTTGGTTTAGACCCGAGACCCGACCCAAACCCATCGGTTCTCGATTCGGGTATCCGTTCGGGTATTTAATTTATGAAGAACCGCTCGGTTCGGTTCGGGTCCGGTTCGGTCCGGGACTTTTGAACACCCCTACTTCCACCTAGTGGGAAAGAAAGGGAAAGGGTGTTTGATATGTGGATGAGTTTATATGGAGAAAGCTACGTAGTGTACTTATCTTGATGGTAGATAGTAAGTTCAATTTCATATCTTACCATGTGATACAAATGATTTGAAAAACTTTATTCTAATACTATTTTTGCTTCGTCTCTTGTCTTCAATCCTTTTCATTCCGTTGAACAATTTTATATGAAATGACACTATATCCTCAAGCATTCCGTTGCTGGTATTTATACCCCCATTGAAAATCTCACAACAGGACATAAGCATACATCATGAGCAACAAGACCTTCACCAATAGTGGAATCTTGTCTTTTAGTTTTATCAGACACTGGATGAACACCACACCATTGCATATAGGTCATTATTGCTTAAGTGAGCTCTTTCAGAACTTAACCAAGAAGGTGGTGCTTTAAGTCATGGACGATATCTTCATCTACAGAAGGACCATTTGTTGGTGGAAAATCCCATTTTAACAATCTGATTTCCCATAATATAAGGTGACAATTTCTGATTATGTCATCCCATTGTCACTAGCTTCTGGTCTGTCCAGTTATTTGTTAATGGCTGCCTAAATTTCATTATAAACAACTGTTGTTTCTGGGTTTGTTTGGTCATTAAATATTTAGCCAATGTTTAGAAATATTAAATATTTTCCAACATTTCATACCTTGTCTCAACACGTCGTTAGAGACTATAGTTAGCTTTGAGGCCGGCTGATGCAGTCAAGAGTGCTAGTGAACGAGATTAAGCTTTGATACATTCGAAGTCGGAGATTTTTTGAGGGAAAAAATATCTTGGACAGGTGCTATTTTCCTACAAGCCCTAATTTTTGTTGAGGAATAGGCTGAAGTCTTACTTTTATAGTAATAATATCGATCTAGGTATTCAATATGTCCCCGAAAAGTATAAACGGAGTAACTGAAAATTGTAGTTTCTAGCCTCAAGTTAATGTAGGGTTCGTTATACAATATCCTAGTTAAGTTGGTGACTTGGTTCTTGCTATTATCTCTTGGCTTAAAAGATGTTCT